GTTCTAATAGGAATGTCATTGCCACTTTCAGTATATCAACTACTCATCTTTCAAGTATCACATGCCCTTTATTAAGTCTTTCCTGAATTCCCTTCCCATTCTTCCAGATTAACCACTACCATCCTTTGGGCTACTGCTATATCCTGAATTAGTACTTTCCTATGAAGAAGAGAAACAATTCATGTCTCTAAAGTCAATATATCTTTTTTTTTTTTTTTTTTTGAGACGGAGTCTCGCTTTGTCGCCCAGGCTGCAGTGGCACGATCTCGGCTCACTGCAAGCTCCGCCTCCCGGGTTCATGCCATTCTCCCGCCTCAGCCTCCTGGGTAGCTGGGACTACAGGCGCGCACCACCACGCCCGGCTGATTTTTTGTATTTTTAGTAGAGACGGGGTTTCACTGTGTTAGCCAGGATGGCCTTGATCTCCTGACCTCGTGACCCGCCTGCCTCGGCCTCCCAAAGTGCTGGGATTACAGGCGTGAGCCACTGCACCCGGCTAAAAGTCAATATATCTTAATACCAACCTGCTCTTGCCAACTTCTCTAGTTCTAAGAGCCGTTATAGTATAGTGTCTAAAGGGTTTGGCCTCTAGGAAAAATCTGGGTGAAATCCTAACTATTTAGTTAAATGTGAATCCTTGGACAAATTATTTAAGCCTCTTTAAGCCTTTGTTTCTTCAACTGGAAAAAAATGGAGGCCACGCACAGTGGCTCACACCTGTAATCCCAGCACTTTGGGAGTCTAAGACAAGAGGATCGCTTAAGCTCAGGAGTTCGAGGCTACAGTGAGCTATGCTTACACCACTGTACTTGAGCCCAAGTGATAGAGTGAGAACCCATCTCAAAACAAAACAAAAATTAGCAGAGTGTGATGGTGTGCACCTGTGGTCACAGCTACTTGGGAAGCTAAGGTGGGAGGATGGCTGGAGCCCAGGAGGTCGAGGCTGCAGCGAGCTGTGCTTAGACCACTGCACTCCAGCCTGGGTGACAGAGCAAGACCCTGCCTCAAAAAATAAAAAATAGGTGGGATGCAATGGCTCACACCTGTAATCCCAGCACTTTGGGAGGCCAAGGCGGGCAGATCACTTGAGGTCAGGAGTTTGATACCAGCCTGACCAACATGGTGAAACCCCGTCTCTACTGAAAATACAAAAATTAGCCAGGTGTAATGATGCATGCCTGTAATCCCAGCTACGTGGGAGGCTGAGGCACGAGAATCGCTTGAACTCAGGAGGTAGAGATTGCAGTGAGCTGAGATGGCGCCATTGCACTCCAGCCTGGGCGACAGAGCAAGACTCTGTCTCAAAAATAAAATAAAGTGGAGATAACAGTAATTAACTCATGATATTGTTGGGAAGATCATGCTTATAATCTGTTTAAAATAATGCCCAGCCATAATAAGCTCACTAAATGTTGGTTGTTATTTTTATCCTGTCAGTGGCATCTCTGTCCAATCAAGAACAAGTCAAACTCACACCTGTAATCCCTGTAATCTTTGGAGGTCGAGGTGGGGGACATTGCTTAAGCCCAGGAGTTTGAGACCAGCCTGGGCAACATGGGAAACCCCCGTCTCTACCAAAAATACAGAGAAAATTAGCCGGGTGTTGTGGGGCACACCTGTGGTCCCAGCTTCTTGGGAGGCTGAGGTGGGAGAATTGCTTGAGCCCAGAAGATAGAGGTGGCAGTGAGCTGGTATCATGCCACTGCACTCCAGCCTGGGTAACAGAGTGAGACCCCATCTCAAAGAAAAAGAACAAGTCTAAGATCTTGGAGTATACCGAAACTTCCGCCCCAGGGTCTCTTTTTATTTTTATTTACAGAATTACTGAATCTTGACATCAAGAATCTAGTATAATTCTTTGTACATTGTAGGTCCTCAATGTACCTGCTGAATGAAAGTGTTAATTCCCTATGCTTTTACACACGAATGTAGTCCACATCACCTTTCATCTGGTCTATTACAACAGCTTAACTGCTCTGCTTCGCTTCAGTCTCTATCCAGTCCCTCTTCATCCTGCTCTTGGTGATGACATTTCCCTCTTCAAAACCCTTGGAGGTCTCTCTGCTGCATTCATGATAAAGTCCAAACTCCACATCCTGGTATTCAAGGTATAATATACCTTATTCTACTTAAGTTTCCTCATTGTACCCTTTTCTGCTGCCTCTATACCTCTGCTGCCCCAACTCCTTACACAAAGCGATGCTAGTTCACTACCTCCAGGAAGACTTTCCTGGCTGTTAGCCCACACTGAGACCTTCCTCCAAAATAGTAATGCTTAGCAGGCCTCTTCCTTGGCTATTCTCCTAAAAGGCCTCACTTGATTCAGCTTTTTCTGGTCTAGGCCCACAGGAGCTCTTCCTCCCCTGTCTCCTCTCAACCTCGCTGGGGGCTCAGCCAGTAATGGGATGGTGGTATGTACAGCAGTGATGGGGGAGGGAGAAGGGGAAATGGAGATTCAGTAAACTGTCAATTGTTTTGGGGGGAAGAAGCAACAGGGGAAGAAGTTCCTCAGAGCCCCTCCAACCTGCTCTCCTCTAGTTAGCCATCCCTTCTCACAGCCACAGGAATTCTCATCCCCTGTTACCCACAAACTCCTCTCTTCCTTTCTCCATTCTTCTTAAGCTGGGATTTTCCTGGCTTCTTTCTAGCCTGCACCTTTAATGCTGCTGCTTCCCAACCTGGGCCTCCACACCCAGTCATCTTCCTTTTTAGCCAGTCTTAGCATCCCAGAAGCTCCAGGCAGACAAGCCAGACCCTGTCTGCCTTCTTCCCCATGCCCTAGGACTTTTCTGAGCTCCCTGCTCAGCTCAGAACGGAGACTTTCCTCATGTTCGCCATGGGTGGGCCTGCCCCTTGTCTTCTCAGCCTCTGGCTGGCCTGGAGCCTCCAGTGTCCCCTACACCGGCCCGACTTCTAACAGCCTCTTCCACCACCACTATGCAGGACACTCAGGCCTCACCGTACTGGGCTCCACTCCCACAGCCAAGGCCCTCCCCGACCACCCTCCAGCTTATCCCGGAGCTGCAGCGCCCCCAAACTCCAGGGCCTTTTCCCCACACCCCCTCCTCATGGCATAACTCAAACCCCCCACCCTGCAACCTCAAGTCCTCAAAGTCCTCACTCTTGTCCTGACCAGGGCCTTCCTCCTGCAAAGACGCCACGGCCACCCGCAAGGCCTCCTGGTGGAACCTCCCCCGCGCCGCCTCCAGGCCCGGGCCCTGTTCTCCTGCCACCCTCCCCGGCAGGCCTCGGCCGGGCCTGCCACCTCCTCGCCCAACTCCAGCCCCGGCCTCCGGACCCCACCCTCACACCAGCAGCCTCGCAGGCCCGAGGCCTCCCCTATCCCCAGGGCGGCCAGGCCTGCTTGGCAGAGCCTCGCTTTCCCTCTTTCACTAGCCCCACGTCGCGGACCCGTTTCCTTCGTCAGTGGCCAGGCCGTGGCCGGCGGTCCCCAACCCACAGCCCCGCCTCCCAGCCCAACTGGCCGGTTCGCCCTCCCCGGCTGTTCATCCCGGCGCCCCAGGCCGCCCTCCACCCAGGCCCGGCCCTTTGGTCCCGGCCGCCCTCAGGCCTGAGGCCCCCGTTCACTCCCATTCAGCCCAAGGCCTCTTGGCGGCGCCGCGCCCCCTGCCACGGCAGCCCGGCAGTCCGGGATCCCCGGGCCGTCGCCCCGCTTGGGGCCTCCTTGGCCCTTCCCGCCTGTCCATCATTCGAGCCTCCCTCGCTTGTTGAAGCCGCTCCGGGCCCCCCTCCACTCGCTCTCCGGCCCCTCCTCGCCGCTCGAGCCGATCCGAGTGGCCTCCGGCGCTCCCTGTCCTGCGGGTCGCTCGGTCGCTCAGTCAGTTTGGCACCCGAGACCCCGGTTGTCGGTTCGCTCCCGTCAGCCCTGGGCCGTCAGACAGGCCGCGGCGCCCCGAGCCTTTCGGCCTCTCCCCCTGCCCCATTCCCTCGCTCTCAAATCCGCTGTCCTCCCCTCCGCCCATCGGCTTGGCCTCCGGAGTCTCGACCCCTGTGGCGTGTCAGGCAGATACTGGGGGTCCCGTTCCATCAGTCAGGTTCGGTGGCCCCGGGCCTGGCCTCCTGGCCTTAGGCCGGGCCTCCTAACCTCGGCCCCTGCCCCAGGGCAGCCGGGCCATCACTGCCCACCGGTTCGACATCCGAGACTCCCCTGCCCGGCCCAGCCGAGTGTCAGTTCGCGGCCCACAGCTCCGGCCCGCCAGTCCAGCCTCAGTCGCCCGGGCCCAGCCTCCTTCGCTCCAGACCGGGCCTCCTGGCCTCGCCCCCCGCGCCCCCGAGCCAGGCCGCGGTGCGGGTCAGCCTGCCCATTAGGTCTCCGTTTTTACTCTGTCCAGCCCTGTCAGTCACAAAATTCATGCTCCGATCCTACGATCCGGCTTTCAGTGCCCCAGGCTGGGCCTTGCCCCGGGCCTCCCGGCCTCGCCCCCCGCGCCCCCCGGCCGCTGGGCCGCCCCCTGCTCTTAGCCAGAGATAGCCCCTCACCCCGCGACTTACCCCACACCCCGCTCTCCAGAACCCCCATATGGGCGCTCACCGCCCGCCCGCACAGCTCGAACAGGGCGGGGGGAGCGTTGGGGCCCGAGGCCGAGCTCTTCGCTGGCGCCGCCTCCCGGGACGTGGCCTCCATGGTCGTTGCCGCCGCTACCTCACAGAACCAGCAACTCCGGGCGCGCCAGGCCTCGGGCGCCGCCATCTTGGGGAGGTGCGCGAGCCCGAGAGTGTCGCCCGCAGACCGCCATCTTGAAAAGGTCAGCAGTTAGGACGGCTCCATAATCGATATGGGGAAGAATGTGAATTATGCTAAAGGAATTTCGAATAAATTAGCATACTTTCCAAGTCTCTTAGGACCTACTATTTTAGATGAACTCCTAGATCAATTATACTTGGGTCTGGTGGGACTAAGGGGATGTTTCTTGCAAAGTCTCCTCAGGTGCAAACATCAGCTACCCCTAGCCCCTGCCTGTGGCCGGTAGTACATGCCAATCTGAGCATGTGTTCGCGACCACGATGAGTATGCCGCACTTCCGGCCAGATCGCCGGATTTCCGCTGAGTGACCCTTACAAGTCCTTCTTGATCCTGAAGTGGATTAGGTGCCGCTGTTGCTGCTCTTGTTGAATCTAGAACCGTAGCCAGACATGGGACTGGAGGACGAGCGAAAGATGCTTACCGAGTCCGGAGATCCTGAGGAGGTAAGGCAAGGCGATCCACTCGACCCTCTTCTCTGTCCTGAAGCCCAAGACCTAGCCCGCCAAAACACGCACGGGGCCCTCTTAGACCCCAGTTTACCCTCTAGGATTTGCAGGGTCGGGAGCTCTAGTTCCCTCGACCTTTCCCCAGAATTCGTCCGGTGACTTTGGACAGATAGATGACTAGTTTTTCTCTGGGCCTCGGCTTCTCCATTCTGTGAATGTAGTGAAGGTTTGAGAGCGAAAATGTTTTGTGGACTAAAGTCTTGTAAAAATATGACCTATGTTTGCAGTCAGTCAGATGTTCTGAAACCCGCGTTTCACAGGTTTGGGGAGCAAACAGACCACCTTGCCCCAGCTCAGGTTAGGAATCCCTACCATATCTATTGGGGAGGCTCGGAAGACCTGGCCTTGTGATTTCCTTTTCTTTGAGGAAGGTGTGTGTCTTTGGGGACAGTGAAGAAATGTACGATGTTATTCTGTGATGGAAGAGGGAGCTCTTTCCTAGGGAAAGAGTGCTGCTATGATAAGTATTTATTGACTGCTTGCTATTCCAAGTGCTTTACATGCACTAATTAATTTCTTTTTTCTTTTTTCTTTTCTTTTTTTTTTTTTTTGAGATGGAGTCTCGCTTTGTCGCCCAGGCTGGAGTGCAGTGGCGCGATCTCGGCTCGCTGCAACCTCCGCCTCCCTGGTTCAGGCGATTCTCCTGCCTCAGCCTCCCAAGTAGCTGGGTAGCTGGGACTACAGGTGCCCACCACCACGCCCGGCTAATTTTTGTGTTTTTAGTAGAGACGGGGGTTTCACCATGTTGGCCAGGCTGGTCTCGAGCTCCTGACCTCGTGAACCGCCCACCTCGGCCTCCCAAAGTCCTGGGATTACAGGCGTGAGCCACCGCGCCCGGCCCTAATTCATTTCATCTACACATTATTCCTATGAAGTAAGTGTTAGGTACTATTAGTGCCATTTTTACAGATGAGGAAACAAGCGCAGAGGTTAAATATCTTTTCTAAGGTCACACAGCTAACATATTGGTGCAGCCAGGAATTGCAGCCAAGCAGCGCGGTTCTAGAACCGGGACTCTTACCCATTATGCGACACAGCCACTATTTGTTTCTAATCTCATTTCCTGCCTGTTCTCTGGTCACTTCGGGGCAGCCGTTCTGGGCTGTGGGTTCAGAATAATTGGAGACTTATATATCCCTTAATTTTTCTCGTCTTATTATTTCTAAAAAGAAATAGAGCCTGAGGCCGGGCGCAGTGGCTCACGCCTGTAATCCCAGCACTTTGGGAGGACAGCCGAGGCAGGCGCGTTGCCTGAGTTCAGGAGTTGGACCAGCCTGGGTAACGTGGTCAAACCCCGTCTCTACAAAAAACACAAAAATTAGCCGGGCATGGTGGTGAACGCCTGTGGTCTCAACTGCTCAGGAGTTTGAGCCCAGGAAGTTCAGGCTGCAGTGAGCCGTGATTGTGTCACTGCACTCCAGCCAGGCAACGCAGGTGAGACCCTGTCTCAAAAAAAGAGGAAAGAAAAGAAAGAAATGGAGCCTGCCTCAGATAGGCAGAAAGGTCAGCAGGATCCACCGCTGCAGTAGATGAGAAAAGAAAGTAAATAAGCAGTCACTTTTAAGCTAGGGTATTCTGGCCGGGCTCGGTGGCTCAGACCTGTAATCCCAGCACTTTGGGAGGCCAAGGCAGGCGGATCACGAGATCAGGAGATCCAGACCATCCTGGCTAACACAGTGAAACCGCGTCTCTACTAAAAATACAAAAAATTAGCCGGGCGTGGTGGCGGGTGCCTGTAGTCCCAGCTACTTGGGAGGCTGAGGCAGGAGAATGGCATGAACCGGAGAGGCAGAGCTTGCAATGAGCCGAGATCGTGCCACTGCAGCCTGGGTGACAGAGCAAGACACCGTCTCAAAAAATAATAATAATAATAAAATAAACTAGGGTATTCTATGAGGGACCCATAATTCTTTTTTTTTTTTTTTTCGTAGTCTAGAAAACAATGGGTTTTCCTCCTAACTTGGTTTGGGATGTAAGGACTAAATTTAGCTATTTGTAGCAATACTGGGACAAATATTTTAGATCGTATAGGCCCCATGTGAACATCTGGCAGCTTGAATCTGTATCAGAAGATGTCTAATTACTGTTTATTATCTCTAAACTGGGATTACTTCCTTAAGGGACTGTTGTGATTAATTAAATCATATTAGATATGAAGGTGCTTTGTAAACTGGAGAGTATTAAGCACACTTAGGTTCTTGTTAATGAAAGTGAGATGGTGTCTCTGTCTTGAAATGAACCTGGGATTCCTTTTAACCAAGTATGGTAAGGTGACAGACCTGCAGTCAACTGCCTTTGAAAGAAGAGTTTATTATTACTTAAAGTTCCCGAAAGAGGGATATACCACACAAAAAAATGCAGGGCTGTATGCGGAAGTGTCCGAGCTAGTCAGGAGGCAGAAGGTGTGAGGGGAAGGAAGCATGGCTCAGCACCTTAGTTTCTATGGGAAGGAGTTGGTGGGCAGGGTAGGTACACTTGCTCAAATTTAGGATTGGATGGTTTGAATAATTTCGTTGGGCTCTGGCTTATAGGGCTGGTTCCTAGTTGTCCTATATTTGTCCCTGGGGTGATTTAGAGAAGGGGAAACAGGAGCTTAGTGTATGAAACTTAGATAAAGGAGGCAGGGCCAGGCCGAGTGGCTAATGCCTATAATCCCACCACTTTGGGAGGCCGAGGTAGGAGGATTGATTGAGCCCAAGAGTTTGAGAGCAGCCTAGGCAACAAAATGAGACCCTGTCTCTACTAAAAAAAAATGTTTAAGTTAGCCGGGCATGTGGTGTGTGCTTATAGTCCTAACTACTTAGAAGGTTGAGGCAGGAGGATCACTGGAGCCCAGGAGTTTGTGGCTGCAGTGAGCTATGATGGCACTACTGCACTACAGCCTGGGTGACAGAGCAAGACCCTGTCTCTTAAACAAAACAAAAGATAAAGGAGGCAGTTGGCTACAAGCGCTTTGGATAGTTAGGTTGCATATGAAAGGTATGCTCGCAGGCAAGTTTGCTGTCTAAAAATTAGCTAGCCCTGGAAGAGCAGAATTAGCTCCAGGATTAGCAAGGCCTCTAAAATGTAAAAACATCATAGAACACAGAAAACAAAATAACATCATTAATAGCAGTGTCAATGTCTATCTTCAGTAATTACATCAGTATGATCAGGAATAAATATGTCATAAAATTGCTGCTAACATTAATTTTGTTTTCCTTTTGTAGGAGGAAGAGGAAGAGGAGGAATTAGTGGTAAGAACTGTCTCAGGTTTGGAAACATCTCAGTAAAAGCAGGGTTTGAGCCTCATGAAACTCTAAGGGCATTTTAACGACTCTTTACTTGATACCTTGTAGATAATGGGGGTGGAATAAGCTTTGATACTTCCCGTGCATTGTTTGGGGTGTGAGCCCACACCGTGTTTGGGGTGTGAGCCTTGGAAGCTAAGTCTATTCTGGGTTTGGGGCTTCTTCAGTTGTGGTCAGGGAGCAGACGGCATCTTGAGGGCCTGGCACTCAATCATCTGCTATTTGTGGTTTAATAAAGAACTTTGGGCCAGGCATCGTGGCTCATGCCTGTAATCCCAGCACTTTGGGAGGCCGAGGCAGGCGGATTGCCTGAGGTCGGGAGTTCAAGACCAAACCTGAACAATGTGGAGAAACCCCGTCTCTACTAAAAATGCAAAATTAGCTGGGCGTGGTGGCGCATGCCTGTAATCCCAGCTACTCGAGAGGCTGAGGCAGGAGAATTGTTTGAACCCAGGAGGCGAAGGTTGCGGTGAGCCAAGATCGTGCCATTGCACTCCAGCCTGGGCAACAAAAGCGAAATTCCATCTTAAAAAAAAAAAAAAAGAACTCTGAGGGAACCTTTGTTAGATAGTCCTTCTCTATATTAGCATTGCCTTTCTAGCTGGGCAGCTGGGGTGCATAGGCCTGGTTCTCAGACAAGGGGATTTGAAATTTCAGATGTGACATATTCCAAAATGCCATGTTAACAAGTAAGGCCTCCTATAGATCTATTTCAAGTTTGGCCAGGTTTCCTTTACCACCTTGTTTTTCAGATAGGACTGAGGCTTTCAGTGCATACTGGCAACCTTGGAAGGCAGGAATGTGAAACTTTTCCCTACTACTTAGCATCAGAATTGAATGGGAGACCGCATTCTGCCATTTCTGGCGGCAGTGTGGCTCTGCCAGCTGGCCTTCTGCACGGTAATTCAGAGGCAGCACCTTGGTTTGGTGGTTGTGTTAATCAAAGCATATGTGTTTGGTGGGTCTCCGCTAAAAATCCCCATTTTGTTGTTTTTCTATTTCTACATCAGGATCCCCTAACAACAGTGAGAGAGCAATGCGAGCAGTTGGAGAAATGTGTAAAGGCCCGGGAGCGGCTAGAGCTCTGTGATGAGCGTGTATCCTCTCGATCACGTACAGAAGAGGATTGCACGGAGGAGCTCTTAGACTTCTTGCATGCAAGGGACCATTGCGTAAGTCCGTCTGAAGTCAGGAAGGGGAAAGGTTGCAATGGTCAGGGAAAACTTGGTGCTGACAATCTTTCCATGCTAGGGGAAGGCCCATCAGTGAGTATTTACTCTGGGCCCAATATATGTGATGTACAGTGCTGAGCATTTTATGTAAATAACCTATTTTATTTTTTTGAGACAGGGTCTCACTATGTTGCCCAGGCTGAAGTACAGTGGCATGATCATAACTCAGTGCCAACCTTGAACTCCTGGGCCTAAGTGATCCTGCCTTGGCCTCCCAAGTAGCTGGGACTATAGGTGCATGCCATCATGGGAGGCTAATTTTTTATTTTTTAATTTTTTCTAGTGATGGGGCCTTGTTATGTTGCCCAGGCTGGTCTCAAACTCCTGGGCTCAAGTAATCCTCCCATTTTGGCCCTCCAAAGTGCTGGGATTATAGGCATGAGCCATTGTGCCTGGCCTGTAAATAATCTTGCCTAATCCTTACTACTTCCACTGGAGATAGGTATCATTATCCCATTTCACAGATAGAAACTGAGGCTCAGAGAAAAAAAATAAACATCCCAACATGCACTGCTAAACAGTGGGGAAGCTGGATTTTATACTCTTCAATAACAGACTGTTCTTTAAAAATAATTTGTATTGGCCAGGCGCGATGGCTCACACCTGTAATCCCAGCACTTTGGGAGGCCGAGGCGGGTGGATCACGAAGTCAGGAGATCGAGACCATCCTGTGAATGGTGAAACCCCGTCTCTACTTAAAATACAAAAAATTAGCCAGGCGTGGTGGCGGGCGCCTGTAGTCCCAGCTACTTGGGAGGCTGAGGCGGGAGAATGGCGTGAACCTGGGAGGTGGAGCTTGCAGTGAGCCGAGGTTGTACCAAAAAATAATAATAATGATTTGTATCCTCAAATGTGTCTAATATATAGTAGTTGGTCCAAAAGGTTGCTTTTTTTTTTTTTTTTTTGGAGGCGCAGTCTGGCTCTGCTGCCCAGGCTGGAGTGCAGTGGCACGACCTCGGCTCACTGCAAGCTCCACTTCCCAGGTTCACACCATTCTGTTGCCTTAGCCTCCCAAGTAGCTGCGACCACAGGCGCCCGCCACCATGCCCAGCTAATTTTTTTTTTTTTGTATTTTTAGTAGAGACGGGGTTTCACGGCGTTAGCCAGGATGGTCTCAATCTCCCGATCCCATGATCCACAGCACCCAGCCTTTCTTTCTTTTTTTTTTTTTTTTGAGATAAGGTCTTGCTCTGTCACCCAGGCTGGAATGCAGTGGCACGATCATAGCTCAGTACAGCCTCTACCTCCTGGTTCAAGCAATTATTCTGCCTTAGCCCCGGAGTTGCCAGGACTATAGGCACATGCTACCATGCCTTGGTAATTTTTTTTTTTTTTTTTTAATTTGAGACTGATTCTCACTTTGTCACCCAGGCTGGAGTACAGTGGTGCAGTCTCAGCTGACTGCAACCTCTACCTCCCAGGTTCAAGTGATTCTCCTGCTTCAGCCTCCCGAGTAACTGGGATTAAAGATGCACGCCACCACACCCAGCTAATTTTTTGTTTGTTTGTTTGTTTGTATTTTTAGTAGAGACAGGGTTTCACCATGTTGGCCAGGCTGGTCTCAAACTCCTGACCCCCAGTGATCCACCTGCCTCAGCCTCCCAAAGTGCTGAGATTACAGGCGTGAGCCACCACACCTGGCCCATGCCTGGGTAATTTTTGTACTTTTTGTAGCGATGGGGTTTTGCTGTATTGCCCAGGTTGGTCTAGAACTCCTGGGTTCACATGTGCCACTCATCTCAGCTTCCCAAAGTGTTGGGATTACAGGTGTGAGATACCACACCTGGCCTCAAGGGGTTGTTTTTTAAAAGTAAACTTATCAGGCAGGGCATGGTGGCTGACGCTTATGATCCTAGCACTTTTGGAAGGCCAAGGCAGGAGGATCCCTTGACCCCAGGAGTTCAAGACTAGCCTGGGCAACACAGGAGAACCCTGTCTCTATTTTTAAAAAATCAAAAGTAATAAAAGTAAACTTCTGCTTGACTCTTACATATAACACAGTAAGGTATTTTACATAAATTATACGTAAGCAAAGTTTTATGTGGTTGCTTCTATTAAAACTAATTGGATGGCCCATAAACATATGAAAAGATATTCAACATCATTAGCCATCAGGGATACTACCATAACACTTTATACCCACTGCCCACTAGGATGGCTATAATAAAAAAGATAACGAGTGTTGAAGAGGATGTGGGAAAGTTGGAAACCTCATATGCTGTCAGTAAAGGTGTAAATTGGTACAGCCGCTGTGGAAAACATCTGGCACTTCTTCAAAAGGCTAAGCATACAGTTAATGTATGACACAGCAATTCCACTCGAAGATATATACCCAAGAGAAATGAAAACATATGTTCACATAAACACCTGTACACAAATGTTCATAGAAGCATTGTTTTTATACTACCCAAAAAGTGGAAACACCATAAATGTCCATCAGCTAGGCTGGGCACGGTGGCTCATGCCTGTAATCCCAGAACTTTAGGAGCTCAAGGCAGGTGGATCACCTGAGCCCAGGAGTTTAAGACCAGCCTGGGCAACATGGTAAAACCCTGTCTCTACAAAAAATATATATATAAAAAGATAACCGGGCATGCTGGCTCACACCTGTAGTCCTAACAACTTGGGAGGCTGAGGTGGGAGGATCACCTGAGCCTGGGGAAGTCAAGGCTTCAGTGAGCCATGATCACGCCACTGCACTCCAGCCTGGGTGACAGAATGAGACCCTGTCTCAAAAAAAAAAAATCAAGTTCTTTTCTCAAAATATTAAACATAGAATTATGTACTATATGATCTAGCAATTTCACTTCTAGGTATATACCCAGTAGTATTGAGAGTAGGCTTAAACAGATATTTCCATATTCATATTCACAATAGCCAAAAGGTAGAAACAACCCAAGTGTCCCTCCATGGATGAAAAGGTTTTTTTAAAATGTGCTCTGTATATACAATGGGATATTATGCAGCCTTAAAATAGAAGGGGGCCTGGCGCGGTGGCTCTTGCTTGTAATCCCAACACCTTGGGAGCCCGAGGCGGGCGGATCATGAGGTCAGGAGATCAAGACCATCCTGGCTAACACAGTAAAACCCTGTCTCTACTAAAAATACAAAAAATTTAGCCAGGTGTAGTGGCAGATGCCTGTAGTCCTAGCTACTTGGGAGGCTGAGGTAGGAGAATGGTGTGAACCCGGGAGGCAGAGCTTGCAGCGAGCCGAGATCGTGCCACTGCACTCCAGCCTAGGTGACAAAGCGAGACTCCGTCTCAAAAAAAAAAGAAGGGGCTGGGCACAGCAGCTCACGCCTGTAATCCCAGCACTTTGGGAGGCCGAGGCAGGTGGATCACCTGCTGTCAAGAGTTCAAGACCAGCCTGGATAACATGGCGAAATCCTGTCTCTACTAAAAAATATAAAAATTAGCTGGGTGTGGTGGTGGGCACCTGTAATCCCAGCTGCTCAGGAGGCTGAGGCAGGAGAATTGCTTGAACCTAGGAGGCGGAGGTTGTAGGGAGCTGAGATCGCGCCATTACACTCCAGCCTGGGTGACAGAGCAAAGCTCTGTCTCAAAAAAAAAAAAAAAAAAAAGCAACAAAAAAAAACAAAACTGGGGCAGGATTTCTTGATTCCTAGATTTTCACCAAAATTTAGGTTTGTTAAGAATTTAAGGTAATATGCAATTCTGTATATAAAATATGCCAAAAGATGGTGCTCTTATTAAATTTTTTCTTTTGGCCAATTTGGGTGTTATTTAAAGAGAAATTTAAAATAAGAAACCGGTCCAGGTGCAGTGGTTCACACATGTAATCCCAGTACTTTGGGAGGCCAAGGCGGAGGATCAGTTGAGCACAGGACTTTGAGACCAGTCTGGGCAACATAGGGAGGGCCCATCTCTTAAAAAAAAAAAAAAAAAAAAAAAAATGAGCAGGGCATGGTGGCACATGTCTGTGGACCCAGTTACTCATGAGGCTGAGGTGAGAGGATTGCTTGAGCCTGGGAGGTTGAGGCTGCAGTGAGCTATGATTGTATCACTATACTCCAGTTTGGGCAACAAACCTTGTCTCAAAAAAGAAAAAAGAAACCAGTAAGTAGGGGAAAGAGATATAAAGAAAGACATAGGCCGGGCACAGTGACTCTCATCTTTAATCCCAACACTTTGGGAGGCCAAGACAGTAGATCACCTGAGGTCAGGAGTTCGAGACCAGCCTGACCAATATGATGAAACCCCGTCTCTACTAAAAACACAAAAATTAGCTGGGCTTGGTGGTATATGCATCTGTAATCCCAGCTACTCGGGAGGCTGAAACAGGAGAATTGCTTGAACCCAGGAGGCGGAGGCTGCAGTGAGCCAAAGTTGCGCCATTGCACACCACCCTGGGCAACAAGAGCAAAACTCAAAAAAAAGTCTCAAAAAAAAAGAAGGGAAACTGACACATGCTGCAACATTGATGAACCTTAGAGACATTATACTAAGTGTCAGGGAGGACAAACGTTGTATCGTTCCACTTCTGTGAGGTACCTAGAATAGTAGTCACATTCATAGAGACAGAAAGTAGAATGGTAGTAATCAGGAGCTAAGGGGAGAAAGGAAGTGGAGAGTTACTGTTTAATGGATATAGTTTTGATTTAGTAAGATGAAAAAGTTCCCAAGATTGGAAGTTCTAGAGATTGTAGGAGACTGTATGGTTGTAGAACAATGGGAATGTACTTAACTGCCACAGAAGTGTACAGTTAAAAATGATTAAAGTGGGGCCGTGTACAGTGGCTCACACCTGCAATCCCCACACTTTGGGAGGCCAAGGCAGGCACATCACTTGAGGTCAGGAGTTTGAGACCACCTGGGACAACATGGTGAAACCTTGTGTCTACTAAAAATACAGAAATTTAGCTGAGTGGTGGCACATGCCTGTAATGCCAGCTACTCAGGAGTCTGAGGCAGGAGAATCGCTTGAACCTGGGAGGCAGAGGTTGCAGTGAGCCAAGATTGTACCACTGCACTCCAGCCTAGGGGACAGAGCAAGACTCTGCCTCAAAAAAAAAAAAAAAAAAAAAAAGATTAAAGTAGAAAAAAGAAAAAATTACTAAAGTGGTAAATTTTA